CACATATATTGCACCGTCAACGGGTTCTAAACTAAGTTTGAAATTTCAAGCCTCTAGCATCATTAGTTGTGTTTTTTTACAAATTATCCAGTAACTTGCCAGCAACTCTCCAGTAACTTTATTTCTAAGAATTCGCTCTCATAGAAAAAATTTGCAATAAAGTACGCGAACGCTTTTCCCGTAATAATTTGCAAGTTTCATGAACAGCTGATAAATTGGTTGTTTATTCGCAGCAAATTCCTAATAAAACAATATATTTTGTATTTAAATAGGTTTATTTTGTGAAATTCAACAATAAAAACCCACAAACAGTTTCCTTATTAGTTTAAATTTCATCCAGCAACATGCGTTCAGCTGTTTTTCGTACTGGCAAATTCTCACAAGTAAAAATTTATCCAGTGAAATCCAGTAAAAACTTGCAACTTCAACTGTCATTTTTCGCTCTCTCAATTTCCCCTACTTTGCAAGTTTTTGCGTACGAAAACGCCAAAACATGAAAATTCGTAATAACTTTTACTGGATTTTACTGGAAATGAGTAAAAAAACGCAACTATTGTTTGCAAGATTTGATGACACACAATTTGTATAAAAATCACGACGTGAACGGCTTTTTGATTGACTGTATTTTGATATGTATACTTTTCATATTGAGCGCACACATTTGGAGCATGTTTATCGGCATCGTTTTAATGAATTTATTGCCATTATTGTTATTACGGCATATCCAGTATGTATGACAGCCATCTAATACCATGTTCTGACCGACATCGAAAACATGTTTTCGTTGCTAACACTAGTTTTCGACCTAAAACATGTGTTTTCGTCTATGTAAAATCTGTCAAACGAAAACCAGTTTTCGCTGAAAACTACTTGAAAACTCACGTACCACTGTTGTTGTTGTTGTTGTAGCGGCACTACTAAGCCCCGCCTGTTTCGGGTCAACTTTTAATCATTATCGTCAAGCTCAACTAACGGTAGGCCCAGGAAACGAGCTGTTTCGATGGGGTCGGACCAAAGGGAGAGAGGTGTTAGTTGAGTCGGATTGAGCTGGCATGTGAAGAGGTGGTTAGTGTCGTGGGGGGAGTCTCCACATGCCGGGCACTCATTTGGGATGTTTGGGTCGAGTCTGGACAGGTAGCTGTTTAGGCGGCTACAATATCCAGACCGTAACTGAGCCAGGGTAACGCGGGTCTCTCTAGGTAACTGAAGCTCCGTCTCTTCCACAGGTGGTGATTGGGCTCCGATAACGACATTCCTAGGCCGGGAGTCGAGGTAGGTGGAGACAGACTCCCTATGAATGTCGTTAATCGCTCGTCTGTACGTCATTGGGTCCAGTGGTTGGTCTGTGTAGGTCTGGACTGCGTCCTTGTACATGAATAGGTGCCCCCTGACGTGCCTGGGCGGAGGCTCCTCCTCCAGCAGTGGTCTGTTGGGGGACTCGGGTTTCACCCGACCAAGGGCTGTTGTTTCGGCGATCTAACCCCGTCTAGATCGGCGATACCCATTAATCACTCCACTCACGTACCACTCGTTCCAATCGGTGTATTCACTAGTTTTTTTCGATTATTTATCAAAGTGAAAGTCATATTTTATCATCTTTAATACCCTATTTCGTATTTATTGTTAATTGGCTGGCCAAAGTAAAATAAGAATGAAAGTAAGAGGTTGCTAATGAAAAGAAAATGAGGGAAAATCATTTTTGTTTTGTTTTTGTGTAGCAAAACTGCAATGAGAGGATATAAGAAATGTCAACGAAAACACTAACAGCCGCTGTGAACAGCCTTTAGCCCACAATTCCAAAACTCGTTTTCAAAGTGTTTTCGTTGTCGGTCAGAACATGGTATAAGGGTGATACGTATGTATATACATCGGTATAAAATGGTTACCAAAACGTTCGACATCTTAATTAGTCATACTTAGGGCCAATTTCACAGT